GATTGAACCTTATACGGCAGGTATCAAGGAGGGTATCAGGAGTTCGAACCGGGGGTACGTAGCGACTTCAGATTAAACATTAGGGCAGGGGTTCTCAAACTTTTGGTGTTGCGGAGCCCCTGAAAAGGTTGACCATTATTCGCGGAGCCCCAAAAGAAATGTTAAAATTGTAGCTTTCCGATAAATATTCCTGAGTAAGTTAAAAGTACTTAACTTAATTTAAAGGCTAAACCTTTTTTTAATGGGGTTAATGCAAGTCATAAATAAATCAAAATTTCAAAGATAAATTATATATACTCTTACTAAAGCTGTAAATTTGACACTTGACAAACATATTAATAAACTAGGGGTCGAATCTTTTCCCTTTTGACATTTTCGGAAGACTTAAAAACTAAAAGGCTGCTAATAACGTGCGCGATTGCATTTTGTTACAATCACCGATAGTTTTCGTCAGCATGGCATGTTAAACATCTTTACGCCAGTGTTTATTCTCCCTAATCAAAAATTTTCTTCGGCTTATACACGTATTGTTCCACAATGACGACGATGATTGCTTTTTTGTTCTCGTGGGGAATTATGAGTTCAATGTGAAAAACATGTTACCATATATAGTCATCGGCGACGAAATGCTAAAAATAATAATTAATAATAAAGAGGTAAATCCGCAACTCAAATTTCTTGATTGAAAAACGGCATTCCAAAATATTAAATTTCAAAATAAAAGATCACACTATAAGTTTGGTTTTAGCAGACTCACGTCAGATTAAAAACGCTTTTATAGGCATTGTAAATCACAAAATTTGGTGTAATGTTAGGTTTTCTTTGGTTATTCGTAGTACAGTAACTGAGAAATCGAAACACAGTCAATTGTGTGCGCGATTTACCTTTTTTTTATTCTGAAACTACCGACGGAGCCGCATGCATTAAAATAAATTTCAATCGTATTTTGCCCAGATCTTGTGATTTTTTTAACGGCGATATCTTGCTTAATAATAATCTTGAGTGCAAAAGAACAAATCAAGTTTGACAAATTCCAAGATCGCAAAAATACGACTCCAATTTATTCATAGGTGGCAGTTTATCACGTATTTTATGTTATTTTAGAATAGTATTCCTTCATTTTAGTAATCCTAATAGTAATCTCGAATGAAACTTGAGTAACTATGAGTACAATTGAATTATTACGACGAGACACTTTGAATGCTCGCATCGGCCATACATTGAATATTTTACGCAACAGAAATCTCGTGTTGCGCTGAAATTTCCGATTCAAATCCCCACCTCTTGAGAATCCTGGCTGCGCTCCAGCTTATAAATAATGTCATTTTTCGATTCCGCCTCTTTGCCATATTTCGAGGCTATAATGTTGTCAATTTTATCAAAGCTGTTATTGTTTCTTTGAACAGTTACAAAACTAGTCATTATTTTAAAAAGTAATCGGATAGCTCACGGAGCCCCTAGGTTTCTCTCGCGGAGCCCTGGGGCTCCGTACGGAGCACTTTGAGAACCTATGCATTAGGCCACGTATTAGGAGTTCCAACACCACCGAGTTGTAGGGCAGGATCAGCACACAGTCGTGCTGAAAAGAAAGCCGATGGCAGGACAGCAGGCCCAGGAAAATAAAAATGGTTAAGGTGGCGGTAGAAACACGTGGCAGACAGCTGCAGGCAAGCCGCCAAGGAAAAATGATGGGCTATCGTCTGAACACAATACAGATGGCAGAGACAAAATAGAAGCCGATGACAGGGTAGCAGCCCAGGAAAATTAAAATGGTGAAGATGGATGGTAGTGGACAAGTGGGTAGAGACAGCAACAGGCAAGCCGCCAAGAAATGATGATAGGTAGATAGACCAGTGGGGTTCCGAGGAAATAAAAGAGTGTTGAGTGCGAGTACTGTCCCAGGGTGGAAAATAATAAAAACGAGAAAGCAGTCAGTCGATAAATAATATACAATACAAGCAAAATGGAATATAGCAAACTCGGCGACCAGGCGAGTCCAGCTGGCAATCTGCAGAATTGCATCCCCGTAATTTTTAAATCATGTACATTTGCACCCCCGTAATTTTGCAACCTCGTATACATTTGCATCGGCGTAAAATTGTAACCGAGTACATTTACAACCGCGTACATTTGCACCCGTGTACTTTTGCGCTCATGAACATTTGAACCCACGTACATTTGCACTGGACATTTTTATCATATACACCCTCAAACTTTCATGGGTTGAAAACTTACACTTAGGAATCTTCCTACCCATGAATATACCCACTTATAACCATGGCATTCCTAATTATATACAGGCAAGACATAAAACTATTTTAAATATAGTCTGTTGTTGAAGATGAATTGAAGGAAGTAAAGTAATTACATCAGTGTAATATGACGAAGAGAAAAGAAAGTATTTGCGTGGTGCAATATCAAATTATATCAATTAACGCAAAGGGGTAGAATGATGCGAATCACTAGCGTTCGCACAAAAGATATAACTACGTATTTGACTTCGGTACTCCCGAAATATGTGAACCAATATGGCGGACACCGGGACGAAGTTTGTGTACCAGGTTAGCGTTAGGCCATAATTTATTTTACAATTTTTCTCATTTTGTGTTAGTACGAGTTCGGGGACTAGGCAAGTGACTCCCGTAGTATTTGTACCTGAAATTATGGCATAACCTTAACGTGGTAAATATACTAAGGTCCGGTGTCGCCATCTTGGTACGCATACTTAAGGAGCACCGGCCACCATTATCACAGAGTGAAATCAAATCTAAAAACACATTTATTTATAGGAGTTTAACATTCCTCAAATTCTCCTCTTTGTTCATGTGTCGCAATTCGAGAAATATTCTTTTCCTTTGATATGTCTGAATAGCTGATTCAATTACCTTGCCAAGTTTAATTTAAGTCGTCAATCCGAATCAATATTAAAAAGATAGTTCCAAGTTATTCGTTCCTAATGCGAAGACTTGAATAATTAGAATAATTAAGCCATAAGCAACTAGAGCAGTGATTACCAAACTTTTAATATCGTAATGCCCATAGTCTGTATGGAGAAGTATTATTATAGTGTTATGAAGTGTTATGATATCCAAAACCATATTAACCATATTACCAGGCTAATTGACTAGATGCGAGCATTGATTTTCCAGCTTTTTCGCGGAATATTATAACCAAAGGCTTTCTCAATTCATTTCTTACACAATTTAGCCGAATCCTTTGTGCCGAAAACTCCTGTGTTTTTGCTTTTACGAGACGAATAAACATACATACATACATACGTATCGCATGTAAACCAATACTAATTAGTCTAAATTCAAATTATTTGTACCGGTACCGTTAACGTCAATTCCTTTTTATTTTTCGAACTGTACCCGATATTTGTACAGAGAATATGCGCATAAAATTTCGATAACAAAATGGTAAATAAAGACAGCCGGGTCAGTTTTAAATGCAGGAATGTAGTAAAATAGGAAAATGTGAAGTTACAAAATCACAGCTAATTGGTAGTTGTCTTTTGAGATGTCCCGGATTGAAGTCACAAAAATATGGTAATCCTAACTATAACAGATATTATTAAAGTTGTAAGTGCAATTTACAAGGTAAGAAAAATATTCCATTTGGGATATTGTCGTTGAATAGCCATTAATTTGACTTGATAAACTCATAAAAAAAATTCAATCAAAAACAAAAAAAAAATGAAAATTTCCCCTTTTTCAGAATATAATCATCTATTACATGCAACGGGTCAGTAAAACAGTTAAAAACTCCGGTCTGTGTTGTATTGTATTCGAGCATTTTCTAGAAAATGGCGAATGCTGCTTAATCTACGTTGTAATTGTTTGCACTAAAAATGTTCAGGAAAGAAATATTGTTGGCGGTGAAAATCTTCCATCAAATTCGTTTTCAATAATTTCCAAAATTATATAAAGCTGTCAGCGTTAATCAACCATTTTAAAGATGCTAATGACGTTATTTTCCAGAATTCGTATGATCCACCCGATGAGGAATATATCATAATTGAATTTCTTCGGCGGTTAAAACTTTCTTGCCGTCCCCGCCCCTACCCATTTTGCATGGGTATTTTTAAAATTATTATTTTTTGTCAACCATTAAGACCTAAATCTTCACTCATAGCTTTTTAAAAGCGTGTGCTAGAGTTCTATTCAGAAATATATCTTTAAAACACACTCCTCTAATAATATTCTTCTTATGCGACAAAATTTCTAATAAAAAATGACCTTGAGAGATTCTGTGTACAGTAGAGGATTAATTATTAATTCTTTATTATTTAATTTTTATTTAAGCGTTTTCTTAAAGTTTTTCTCAACAGAACAATACCAAAACGACTATTATAGCAAGAATGGTTACTCTGTAACCCACAATTGTATTTACAGAATTTTCATGTTCAAGGCTTTCATTGACAATTTTGATGACGTCACAGCTCTAATTATTATATTAATTTTACGTTTTTTTCACGTTTAAAAATCACAACGGTATGGTATGTATGACTGAAAATACATGCTAAACTAATAATAAGTCATTATAAAGGAGTTAATGTTATTGATTTCCTGTCTGAGTCTTTTCTTATATTCGGATCAGGATGGCATTACCGGATCCAGCCCAATGCCTTCATGCCCAGTAATGCCAACGGAAGTATTAGACTCATTCTCCTTTGATAAAGGGATTTTATTTACCAAACTTACATCATATCAGCAATTTAGGATGGTATTTCTTATTTTTTTTTTTTAAAAAAACCGCCAAATTCCGAAATGGATATAGTCAAACTTCGATACTATGCCACCGAGAGGGACCGAGAGAAAGTGGCATAGTAGCGAGGGTGACATGGTAACAAGGGTTTGTAAAAACAGCTTTGTGACGTAACAATGTAATGCTACGGTGTGTTGTACGATTATAATTGACATGTATTACAGTATGAAGTACAGTAAAGTGCAGTAGTTTCCAATTCTAAAGTTTGTTTCAGATTCAGAAATTGGCCCAGAATGTCAATTCAAAAGCGCAAGCGAACCGACTTTACGTTGAAGGAGAAGGAGGAGATCATTGATTCCGCGAAAAAGGAACCGAATCAGTCCAAGCTGGCCAGGGAAATGAGCAAGGAATGGGGCATCGAAGTTAAGAGAACCCCAGTGATGGGAATCATCAGCAGGAAGGATGCAATTGAGGCAGTTATCAAAGCTGGAGTTCCATCAAAATGCATGAAGCTGGAGCCGTCTCACCACTCAAAGCTTGATGACGGGGTGCTCATGTGGCTAAAACAAGCAAAAGGACAGAACCTGCCTGTCAGCGGCGATCTGATAAAGGAGAAGGCTTTGAAACTGGCCGATCTGATGCTCATTCCAAACTTCATGGCGAGCAACGGTTGGCTGGACAATTTTAAAAAGCGCCACGGAATCACGTTCAAAACAGTGCAGGGCGAAGCTGGAGCGGTGGATTCGCAATCCCTTCTTGAGTGGCAACAACAGGTTCTCCAGCACTTACTCGGTCAGTTCTCCGCAGACGACGTATTCTACCTGGACGAGACTGGACTCTTCTGGCGTTTGCTTCCGAACAAGACCATGAGTTTCATGGGAGAACGGTACACTAGAAGAAAGAAAAGCAAGCAAAGGATCACTCTTCTGGTGGAGGCAAATATGAGCGGCAGTGAGAAGTTCCCTCTTCTGGCGATCGGCAGTTCCCAGAAACCTCGTGCCTTCAAGAACAAGGAGATTCCTGTTAAGTACAAGGCAAACTCGAAAGCATGGATGACGGTGAAGCTTTTCGAAGAGGTGTTGCGTGAGTGGAACAGACGACTTGGCCAGTAGGGAGGCAGACTGCTGCTCTGCCTTGATAACTTTTCTGGCCATCCAGAGATCCAGCAGGAAAACATTAAACTGGTCTTCTTCCCACCCAACACGACAGAAAATTCTCAACCAATGGATCAGGGAATCATAGAGAACCTCAAGCGCCCCTACAAGAAGATCCTGCTGCGTCGTCGACTCGAGGCCATGGACGAAGGAAAGGAGTTCGAGTTCACATTGCTCGACGCTGAATAACGTTTGGCGTGCTTGGGAGCAGGTCAGCGAGTCGACGATCAGAAACTGCTTCGTGAAGGCCAAGTTTATCGAAGAGGAAATCCAATTTGAGCTTGTTGATGTTGATCTGCTTGAGATCTTGGAAGCGCTGCCTGCCGAGGAAAAGATGCAAGAGAACGAGGAGATCGAGCTGTCTGAATTTCTTGAAGCTGATGAGCGCATCGAGACTGGTGTTTTTTGCAGACTGGATGAGATTGCGGAGGAGATGTTGCGCAGCGAGGAGCCGCTTAAATGCGAAGATGATGAGACACATGTTGAGGAGGAAATCGTTTCGTTCGAGGAAGCCCAGCAGGCATGGGGCACTGTCCGAAAGTTCATGTAGCAGAGGAGCGGGAAGCCCAGTGTGATGCAAGCATACGATCGGCTAGACGACGAGGTGCATGAAATCCGCAGAAAGAACATGTGTCAACTGACTCAGAGACTCTGACACCCTTTCCTCAGAGTTTTGTGCTTAGCTACAGTAGATAACTTGAGAGAACACATTACAAGCACATACATATACTTTTGCCGTTTCACAGCCTTTTAATCGTTTCGTTCGTTGCGTTTATTGTTTCGTTAAAACAGCAGTACTGTACCTCAATGTAGCATATTAGCGAGGGTAAGGAGTGGCATAGTAATTATATTTTATATTGAATTCAGTTGGTGACGATCAAGAGTGGTATACTAGCGAAGGCGGCATAGTAGCGAAGTGGCATGGTATCGAAGTTTGACTGACAAATTTGAATCGTACATTAATAGTTATAAGAACCATTCGATAACCAGAAAGCGATTTGCGCCGGCCAGGCACAAATTTCTTAGAAAGTACTAGGTTGATATTCACCTACCATTTGTGGTGACTGATGAGTACGTTTCTTGTCACGCTTTCTGCATTTCGATCATATAATGTCACACAATCTGTATGTCATCCGTCAGCACCTTTTCCCACTGTCTGGATAGATCGTACATATCTGTCGAACCATGTTGATGTTTGACTACATAGATCCAGTTTTTGAATTTCCGGTAGACAGTTCCGATTGTTAAAGATATATCGTTCTGGCTCTCATATATATCTGTTTTCTCTATCCAAGTTATATTTGAGTGTGATAGTTTCCAATTTAAGAACACTGTACATTTTTAGAATTGTCAAATTGTTTTCGCCTGCATAGGAGTTGTCGAAGATTGATTGTGGGGGAACGTTTAGTTTTTTTCCGCAGATTTTTTCCAGAGTAAGCCTAATTCCTTCGTGTATTTCCAGGTATTTTGGGTATTCAAGGAATATGTGTATTGTTGTGTCTTCCTGATTAGCACAGAGTTTACAATTCAGCTTCATTTGACGATTATGTGCATCCCGACGAACATTTCCATATCGCCACTTTCTATGGCTAAACAAAAAGCCATCCACGGCTTCGAGGTAAGCACATTGACGTTCGATATTCGTGAAATGTTTTTTCAGTGTGCGGTCCAAGAGATGTATGGACTGCAAATCACGTGTTAGATGTAATTTTGGTGGTGGGTCACACGTTTTTAATTTGAATCTCTCATATATGGACTTTAAAGTTGTAGTAGTCCATTCATTCGGTGTGAAATCCAATACATGAACAAGATTAATTATATGCTGCCAGTGAAGGTTGACTTTTATTGAGTGGGGCACCGAAGTGAAGTACGGAGATTTGTTTAGTGGAATTATTTTAGATCCCAGAGTATTGAGTGGGGCATCGAATTGAAGTACCGAGATTTGTTTAGTCGAATTATTTTGGATCCCAGAGAAAAAAGAGCCTCAGGGTGCCCGAGTTCGTTCAGTCGGGGAAATTAGCGAACATAGCTGATTGATTTTAATTGCGCTTTCAACTTGACGTCGAGCATATTAATGTCCCCGTTTGAAAGATGTTGTTGTAAAGTTTTCCTGGTTCGATTACAGTTGGTGAATAAATGACATTGGGATACTGTGTACTCTAGCGCTGTAGATTATCGGGGAAAGAGCAAGAGAATTTAATACTGTGATTCTGCCTCTCCAGGATAACATTCTTGGTTTAGTTCGATTAAGGATTAGCCTAATTTTTGTGCATTTTTCTGTCCATGTAAATTTGGTAGACTCGCGGCCAAAGTAGACTTCAAGTATTTTTATTCTGTTTCTTCCAAATCTTCTATATGGTGTTGACTGCAATAGGGTTTCGGCTGATTTTGTGGTACATAAAATCTCTGTTTTTTTCTAATTCACTTTCTGTCCCGTAGCTTTTGAGTATCTATCCAGTTCTTTAAAAAATGTGCTCTATTGAGAATGGGGAACGAATTATAAACGTGGCATCATCAGCGTATTGCTCTAATTTATCCTCCATTTTACACAGCCTAACACCTTCTATACGTTCATTTGCAAGAAGTCTTGCGAGTGGTTCTGCGTTCAACGTATAGTAAGTAGCATGCTGAGGGAGCAGCCCTGCCTAATCCCACACAAGATTTGAATGTCCTCCGTAAATGCGCCATTCACATCCACTATGTTGATAATGTTGGTATACATGCCTTTGATCAGGTAGTTGTTTTATCGGGCACACCCACCGTTTCCAAGATGGTAAAGAAAAATTGGTGGTCGATGTCAAAGGCTTTAAGTTGGTCTACCGTCATGACAAATGTAGAGAGGTTCTTTTCCCGAGAATGACCTATCACACTGTTCAGGTTGTTGTGAATGTCTTGGATAGATTTTCCGTCAGGGTCGATTTTTAGGTCCTTGTGATAACACCATCCAGTACGTTTTTAGGGCGGGTTGATATAATTTTTGCCAAGATCTTGTAGTCATCGTTCTAGTTTGCAATAGGTCGCTAATTTTTCAACATCGTTTTCTCTCCTTTTTTGTGAACAAGAATGACTGTTGCGTGACACCAGCTATCAGGGTGTTATTGAAATATCAAGACGTTGTTTATTAATTGGGTGAACTGTAATTTAATTGAGGGCCAAAATGTAATTTATAATTTTTTTTCAAGACCGTCCATACCTGGTGATTTATGATTTTCCATCTGTTTGATAGTGTTCTATATTACTCCTTCCGTTGAAAGGGGGTCCAAACTTTCAGCTTCATCAGGTAGAATTTTTGGTGAGGTCATAAGGTCAAGTAGATGTCGCTGTTGCTTTATGTCTATCCTTGATTTGGTTCCCCAGAGGGCGCTATAAAATTCATGAGTTGTTTTTAAAATTAATTCTTTATCGTTTGTAGTTGAATTGTCCGGAAGGATAAGTTTTTGGATAGTGCACTGATTTTTTCTATAACGGATTCGGTCATAGAAAAAACGAGAGAGGTTTTCTTCTTCCTCAGTGGCCTCACTGTGAGTTATTATTATCATGGAGTCGTTTTTTGTTTCTGTATTACCTGAAGTTTTGATTTTAACTCATGAATTCCATTATCCAAATCATTTTCATTTCTAATTAGTTCCGCTAGTTTCTTTTCAATCTGAATTTGCTGGTCTTTATTCCATTGTGCCTGATTTATCGAGAAGTTGATTGTTTCTTTTTTTATTTATACCTTAAAAAAGTCCCACCATTCGATCATTGGGTTCAGGTTTCTTGAATGGTGAATTCGGTCGATACGCCTAGATTGCTTGTGGATTGTCACGGTGGATACTCTTTTATCCGGGTATTGATATCTGAAGGGGTCAATGATGTCATGCTCAAGTAGGAAGGCTTTGAAGATCTTTTCGGCCTGTGATAAGATAAATACTCTCGCTAATAAAGCATCCTTCTCATCCAAGATTGAATTAAAGTCACCGCATATTACAAGTTGATCGCTATATTGTAGTTTTTAATCCAGTTTATCTACCAAGGCCCGAAAAAGGTGGTGTGAGCGCTTTGTCTTACTGATGGGGCATAAACGTTTACGATGTATAAAGACATGTCATCGAGTAATATAGAGAGTAGATCAACCCTATTCTCGATGATGATTTCGTAGTTAGTGCCCATGTTCGCAATTCTTTCGTGCACAAGAATGCTAGTTCCTGATTTAAAACATTTAATGTCCGACCTTTGGTGAGATAACGTGTTGAAATAAAATTTATATTGGATATTTTCGTCTCAAGACTCTAATTGAAACATGTTAATTTTGTGCATCTCTTGAATGAGGGAAATCGCCGGCTTATATTTGTTGATAAGATTTCCTATTTTAATTCGATGTATACTGACCCCGTTAACGTTTATGGAGCAGATCCGCATTCAAGTTAAGATTTATTCTTTATTTCTTGTCTTGTTTTGTCTTTTTTAGCTGGTTAGGTTTTTTCCTCCCGTAAAAGTCCGGGTTTTTGGGACTGGTGTTCGGTCTTTGGTGATTCTGGCATCACTCTCGGTGCGCTATAACGCTGTGGGCGGTTAAGAGCGCCTACCAAGTATGGATCTGACCGTTTTAGCGAAACTTTATCTTTGCTTGCAGGAGTTCTGCTACAAGCATCCCTCTGTGGTTTTGGAGCGAATAAGTCTGCCATTGGGCCAAATCCATTCTCTTTGGCTTCGAAAACATTATTGATGTTATGGTAAGACCCCATTGTATAGGGTCAATTAATTCAGTCTTTAGATCGGAATCAGAATATGAGTGTCATTTGTTAGACTTTTTTTAAAATTCAGCCAGGCACTTCCACATTCATCACTCCTGAGGGAATCAGAATTTTTTTTGTCAAATCCCTCAGTGACTTCACATGGATAGCTAAATCTTGAGAGATATTGTGCCATGGCTAACAAAGACTTCACTTGTGATCTGTATCTGTAGGTCTCGAAGCTTCTTTGATTTGGTGTTATTTTTTGATTGAACTTTACATACATGTTTCCCTCGTATGACCACAAAGAAAACTGAAAATAAAGCTCCCTTCCTCTCGAACTCAACGGAATGAATAATATTGAGTATAGACACGAATAAAAACACCAGACAGCTTCTAATGTTTAGGTTCGTGAACGAACATGGCATGAACAGGAATAATTCTCACGGCGTAGCAAATGTTGCTTCGACATTTTTGAATTTTTTGAAATGTGAATCGGGAGATTAATGGACTTCGTGATCTTCAGCTCTGATATTTAAGGGTCTAAGAAGTATTATATTCTGTGACCTCATGATTAAACCACTTGAGTAAAAACATGTTCAGCGCTTTTTATCAGCATATATCACAAAATAAGGCCCGAATAACAATGAAAATATATCGCTAACATCACCGTGAAAATATAGCTACAATTATAAGAGTATCACCGACTTGAGCTAATATGAATGTCTTGCAATAAACGGAATTCTGAAATTTCATTTTGATATAAAATTATGTTTTGCTCGGTATAATATGTTTAGTGAAGTAAATTATCCTCTGTCTACTTTATTTTAGTAAAATATTTAATCTGCTGTATTGGACATTCCTATTTCAAGCAACGATGACCCAAGGTCAAAGTTTGACAATTTGATATGATGAGATATAAAATCATCGCCTCTGAATTGAGCCTTCAATTTGTGAAGGAATGCATGTTAGGCAGATGGTATTACAAGACGTTAAAGCAAGTTTGAGTCACACGTAAAGATGTGAGTTCAAGAATTTTGAATTAACTTCAATTGGAATCCAATTGAAACAATTTTAAGGCTATGTTCGTTATTTTGATTCAAACGACGTAATTATCCCAATGACAGCAAATCGACACGCCATGCGCACAATGGTGGAATTAACTAATTAATTGATTCAAATCAATCTGTCCTATGAATATGATTTGGTTTAGCAGCGCAAGATTTTTGAACCTCCTTTATCACAATGTATTCAAATTACAATTAATAAAATTTTAAACTCTTTTCAAGCCCCTGAGACATCT